TTTATTTTAAGACTTAAGCTCTGACTCATTTTGGAAAATTTACATACTTATGAATTTGGAGTTTGTGTAATCAAATAGCTTAGTATTTGATGTAATCTTCAGGAACACTACTTTCTGATGTACATCTAGCCAAAGCAAAGAGTGTTGCTAAAATCCTTCTTGACAGTGCTGTTCCTGGAGATAAGTAAGTTTTTATACTGTCCGTTGGTTTCCAGTATTTGCCAAGGAATAATTAAAAATAACGAAGTGCAATTTGTTAATATTGAATTCCTGTGGTAATAGATGATCAATGGACAGATGGTCTTGCTTTCATCTCACGGTATACTCGAACTGTTAATTAAACATGTTTGTGGCTATTGCTCATTTGCGTAATTTTTGGCAGCAATGGTTAAAATAATTTAACCTCTAAAAGACCATTCAGATTGATCGATTCTTTCCAGTCAGCGCATAACATTGTGACTTCGATTTTATTTGGGGCTTAAAGAGAAAGTATACTGCGACATTATAATTACAGCTAACCTTACTTGACTAGAATCCAGACTAGATTTCATAGGAAATTTTATTTTCACATTTTTACATGAAATATTTTGAAAAGAGTATAGACATTCGTCATTTGCAATAAAAATTTCAATATCTGAAATATGCAGGTACATGGTGATGGTGTCAAATGGAACAGATAATATTAGAGCTTGCAAAAATCAAAATTTCTTGGGTGTGACAAGTGAACAGATTGCAGTAATGGCAGCATTTATAGAAGCATTTGAACGAGGTAGTCAGAAAGCATATTCACATACTAATGCTATTCAGATGGCCTGCAGATTATTTGCCGATGTAAGCGGACATTCTATTATGCGTAAAAATTAAAAATTAAATGTATCAAGGACATGAAAGTGAAAAAGTGTTCCGTAAACTATTTTTTGGTGGGACATATTATTTTGCACGACTCATACCTTTTCGGTCGCAGGTTTGAGACCGTATAGCGGGAGTTAATATTCAGAACCAAGGATCGGCAAAAATCCTAGAATATATGATTTTAGGGTTTTTTTTCCTCAGTGTTATTTTTAAAAAAAAGCGATAATCAAAATGTCGAGTCCAAATTCGACTATATCGTTATACTGATTATTTCCTGTAGTTATCATCTTTTCTTATCAGTTCCAGGAAAAAAGTTTAGTTGCATATTTGCTTAACCAGAGTATTCTTATGATCTCAGTTCTCGCCTGCAATTATGCTGATCGCTAAAAATATTCTTTTATGTGTCCATTGGTTAAATTTGATTTTGCTTCCATTTTTTTCAGGAAGAAACATTTGATCGAGAAGATGGTAAAAATAAATTCCATCATAATATTCTATTTTATATCAGCCGAGGTGTAATGTCAGAATTAGGTGAAGCAATTTCGGTCTTAAATGCTGTGACTGAAATTGTTTTAAAAGCGAATATTCGCGTAAAAATTAACACCGTGGCATTGAATGATGGTATGTACATTTTTTAACATTTAAATATAAAAGTATTTATGATTCGAATGAGAGTAACTTATTTCTTTCTTCTTTAATAAATTCAAGTTTGAATAGTTGATGACATGAGTTGATTTATTGTTAAGTTGGAACTGAAATGTATGATGCATGTAATACATAAACTACTTAAACTTCTGCTGCTGGTATGTCTCATTTTATACATTGGCTGTGGAAATACTTTTTAGGAATGGAAAGTATTTATCCTCATTTAAACAACCGTTCTCTTTGCTATTAAGAATTATTTTTGTACTTATAGAAGTGATACATTATTCATCGGTGGAGTTAGATCCATAAAAATTAATTTAGATTTAACCAAGATTCAGATATCAAATGGAAAAGTAGAAGGATTTCTCTTGGATATGTTTTGAAAATTACAGTTATAGGTGATGAAACACCCCTTTTTTGGTCGTATGAATTTTTGAAAAACATTGCGGAAATGAATTTCACGAAATATCAGCAATCACTTGACGGAAAGCTGAAGGCGGCCTTGAACAAAATGATAATACCGGGAAAGGTGCTGTGCTTTTTTCGTCTCTGATACTAAAAATAATGATTTCTTACATTAATATTACAGTTATAGGCATATCAGGTTATACAGACTAACATGGTGAACTAATAAATGGTAATTTGTTAATTACAGATGATTTCAATTGGATCTAATGAGCATGCAACGTTAACATTACGCCGAATGTTTGAACTTCTTTCCATTGATAATAATGACGAACTGCTCACTCATTCATCGAATGAAGAATTATTCTGGTCGTATCCTTTTAGTGAATATCAGTCAACATTGGTTTCTCTCTCAACTAGCTTCCGGAAAGATAATAAATTGGTACGATTATAAATATAATATTGATTTTTAAAGTTATTTTTACATTTTTGAAAAAAAAAAATCTTTTTCAATTTGTCAAATAAGGAAGAGATTTTATAGGCAGCTGTTATTGGTATGGATTTGAATTTGGATATAATTGCTGATGTTATCAAATATAATGATTTGGTAGTTATGGCACCAGCAAAAACTAAATTACGGATTTTTCTTTGTGATTTGCAGGGGTAACATTATCATTGTTTTGTCATGGTAGCAAGATCAGTTTTTAACAAAATATTTCGAATTCATGATATTCTTTTCAAAAGGGGTAACTTTACAATTTCTTTTTTCTGGAGAAGAGAGAACAGGAAGCAAATTGGTATCTTAGGGTCACATAATTATAGAAATTGCGATTTGAAACATGGTGAACTTGCCACAATGATATTTTAAAAAATTTCGAGCAGTTATAAAGTTGAAATTTTTTAGTCGAGTTATCATCGCTTCTCATATGCGTAAAACATCACCATGGCCTTTGCATATCGGAACGTTGGAAGCTTGGTCAGAAAAAGATCTATGGCTTAGTGAACATTTCTCATTGGAAGAAATCAGCGAAGGCTCATTCGAAATTATAAAGGAAGAAGTGATGGAGAAAATAAAATTAAAATATACATGGATGAGGGTATATTTTCCATTGTTTTAATTTGGAATTTTATTTTCTTTTGTTTTAGTGGAACTGATAGTTTTTAATGTAGATGCATTAATTAAACTCAGATTTTAACTAGAACTGTAAATAACTTAGATGAAAGGTAATAAAAAATTATCCGCGTTGAAACACTGGTAATTTAATATTTTTTTCAGAAAAAGATTTCTGGAATCATTTTTTTATGAAGAGAATAAATAATGAAAGAGAATAGTCGTGTAGAGAATATTACCGACTTGATAGATAAAGCTTTTAATCACTTTATATATCAGCTCTTTGCACTAAGAGATTTTTGCTTTATTGTTTTATACATTAATTATCCATGAAGTAACCTACAAGTTATATGCATATATAGATAGTCAATCATTTTATTTTGTCTAAGTTTAATTTATCTTATTTCCTCTCATTAAATTATTTTTCAGCTAAAGAAAGCACCATTTGTTGTTGTTATGGCAATGAAAGTTAGCAAAATGGAGGTCAAAATTTCAATGCTTTTAAAAAATTCAAAACAGGAATATGTGTTGGATAATCTTGTTTACCATCGCCTCGATATTCAGGTTACTACATGAAATTCAAAGCATTTTTTGAAAGGTTTTACTGTAGTTTTTTTATACATTTTGAATAAATTGGTTTCAGAGAGATTCATCGCTTTCATACTGCTCGCACTTCGGCTATCTTTCTACTATGAAATTAGGCGGTGTTTATCTGAGTCCAAGTTGTTTCACAGTTTCTTCCTTGCAGCGTCCACCATCTCCACAGTGGATTGCAAATTATTGGGTATATTTAGGTATTTTTCGTAAATAATTTCCATTATACTACAATTTTTATGTAAACGGAACAAAGTTAAATGAAGAAAAGTGAGAAATAAATGATTTTATACATACATGAAAGCAAAAATGCTATTAGGAAAGTAGTTCTTTTTATTTGCATGGCCAGAAGGCCGGCAATTGAGTATCTGTTATGATTGAGTTCTAGTTTTTATTTCTTGAGGTGATCCATTCGGTTTAATTCGAAATACGGGTATTCGACTGAGTGTTCGTGAACATGTCAATGCACTGTCTGCTATTATACCATATTGGCGTGATAAAACAACTAGTGATTCACATGAATTTGTTTTGCGACGTTATATAGCCACTACACGAGGTGTTATGATCACTTATCCAGCAACTGTGATTCGTGACAATTATGAACCTGACTTGCAACCGTGGTTGGTTTTTGTCACCTTCTTACATTTAAAACTTCATCGAGTTTATCGATTTGTTTGAGTTGCAAATTTTTCATCGATCTAGACTACTTTTTACTTTTCGAAAACTGGAATTAACTAAGGTCTCCAGTATTATTTTGATGCTTTAAAAAGTCTTAATTCTATGTCAGTAATTCTAGATAAAAAGTTTTAAGCAAATGAATAGTGTGATAAATGAAATCTTTCATGTCTTTTATGTCAGAAAACTTTATTTCGAGAGTTTAAGTTCTTATTATGAATGACTTCTGCATTGGTGCAAATTTAAACGGATCATCTTGTACAGTACTTTTTTCCTTCATTTTGTCTTTTTAGGTATGTACGTGCTAATGAATTTCTTGGAAGAATTGTTGTGACAGGGCCATTCTTGGAAGATAATGTTGGACAAGTTGTAACGATTTCGACTGCTGTTTTTGAAGGCAAATTTCTAACTAAATTTCTGATCTTCACGAACTACTCTTTTTTTTTTCATATGTTCATGATTGTAATTTTTCATGCAATTTTAGAAGCTTTTTTTAGGTCAAGCTGGAACTATGCATAATTCCAACGATCAAGTTTTTGCTGTCGTTGCTATGGATGTAACTACGGGATTTTTCTCAAAATTGTTGCGAAGCACGATTAACGTTTGTAAAGAGGTTTATTTTTTACTGGTTATCATAATGCTTGTTATAATTCTCATTAATGAGATATATAATTAGAATAAATACAGAATAAATTTTTTATATGTTTTAAAAAACAAAATGACAATACACATTTGAATTCTCAAATTTTTGATAATTATCAGTCACGGCGTTGTGTTTTGTTCGATGACCTGGGCAATGTGATTTCACGTGGAATAGAAACGATTGTGTCCAGTAAAAAAACTCGGTCTTATGGAAGAAGCGTTTCGTGGAATGCCGTCGAACGTTTCCATATTAGTTATTTAGAGCCTCAGCTTGCAACATATTTAATCACGAAAACAAAATTTGTTCAAAAAAGGCAGTGTATGCAATGGGCTACTCGCTCAGTTGAACGTTTTTTCCGATTCAATATTTCGTATTCAGACGCTTTAACGGTAATTTTTTTAAATGCATTTATTTATCTGTGTATTTTTTTTTTGTTTTGTGATTTTTAGGCATATGAAATATTCAAGTCTCGTTGACGAGAAGGAATTCTAGCTTTACTGAAAAAGAGAGTGGCTTTTATCCATTGCAAATTATTTTATATCATTTCCTTTTTCTGTTTCTAACAGAAGTCGTCCTTAATAGAATTCAAAAAATTTTGGGCAAATTTTCAAAATTCTTTTGTAAAGATATTTTTTTAATTATACAAAAATTTTTTTTTCCATCTGGACTGTTCCAGACAAAATTTTTAGACTTCTGAATCACTTTGTTGAAATAACAGCTGCGTTAATTAATAATGAAATATATCTTCAGATTCCATGTGATGATTCTAGCTCAGTACTAGGTATGAAATTGGGAAGTATTCGTGCGGAAGTAATCCCGGTGCCACACACGAATTTGTTTCTTGCTCTTATAAATGAAAGTTGTGAGCCACAACACCCCATTCAAGTATTCTTACCAATTTTGCTTGCATATTTTTCTCTACATCCTTTTGCAGTTTATGAAAGAATCATGTTTTAGTATTTTATAATATTTTTATTAAAATATACTAAATAAACAAAGACTTTCATAATTGAATATTATCCTGTAGCTGCAGATTATCACACTCATTTTATTCATTTTTAACAATTACTTTAAAATTATATTTGACTTGACTTTAATTATTATAAAGTTTGAAATTCCAATATTTTCCATTGCTCCGGTGATATTTTAGATATGATCGCTGATGTTTCAGGCATTTTGTCCATGTTCAGTTAGTGATCGTCGTTGTCTTCTTTGCACACGTTTCGATGATGCTGAATGTGAATGTCCATGTCAGTGTACATTAAACTGTAATGCACAATGCGTAGCCAGTTCATCAAATGTTTCACTTTATCGGGTAATTTGTTACCAGATATGGACAATATATTGTATTTACAGCTATATAGAATATAGTATAATGATTCATTTATCATAAATTGGTATTTTTTAAATATCATAATTTAAATTGGGAAACACTGAATTTTGATTAGTGTTTTAGTAAGGTATGAGTAATAATTAAATTTTAGATCAACAAAAAATTATCACTTTATGAAAAAGTTGGGAATTTGACGTGGTTTATTTTCATGCATTTTCAGAAAACTTCTTTTGTACCAAATGTAGAATGTTCAGATCTAGAGGAATGTCCGGCAATGGCTACTATCATTCCATTCAGTGCTAGGCCGTTACAGAAAACTGTACTGTCAGAATGTATCAGTATCAAGTATTGTTTCTTTTTTGATTTTTTTTCAGATAACATGTAATTTGATCAGTTAGTGATTGAATTTTTAGAAATAAAAAAAGCAGTGTTATAAATAATATGTGCAATTTTATGATTGTAAATTTATCAAATATCTGACAAAAATCAAGTTAGTTCAAATATGTTTGTGAAATAGTTGCAGATGTGAAAATTATAAAACGATAGATGATTGTTTGGGTGTACTGGGATGTCAGTGGTGTACATTTGATAGCGATGGGCAAACGCTTCTTCTGAATCCCTCTTGTGTCTCCACTGACCAATGTTTCGGTGGTACAAAAGGAAGACGCATCAGAGGTTGTTTTTTATTTTAATCTCGATTTGACGGTAATTGTCAGTGAATCACATATTCGTTATAATTGGACTTACTTTCAAATCTTGAACATCAAAAATCTTATGATTTTCTTGTACTTGTTCTTCAGGTTTCTTGGAAAGTGAGTCGCAATTGGCTGCACAGTGGTCAGTTGGTGCACCTGTTGGACCAGTTGCTGCTGGCATAATGAGTGTTTTCTTAATTATGGTATATTTTTATTTCTTTAAATTTTCAACTTATTTTATATTGATGATCCCAGTGTACGCGTCGCAATTTCGAAATCACATGGAAGAATCAATAATAATCTACATCTTCTAAAAAAAATAGTACATCTAAATCGCTAAACGTAGATATATATGAATTAATAATTTATTTCTAGGTTATGGCTGTGTATTGTTATCGAAGTCAGGTTAATCGTTTGGTGGAAGCGAATTCGCTTATGGATTCATATGGTGTGCCATTATGTGGGAGAAATTTTGAGGATGATGATTTTCAGCTTGATCATGATATTTCTGGAGTTGTGAAAGGTATTAAAATTTGTGTTGTAATGATTAATTTATTTTTGTTAATAAAGTTCAGATAACCAAATAATTAGTTTAAACAAATTGATAAAATGAGAAAGCAGACATCAATGTAAAAATACAGTTTCAGAGAAAGCAGTTGCTTTGGTTCAGCTGACATCATTTGAAAGAATGTCCAATCCATTGGCAACAGTTCGTCCACAGTACCGAGTTTCGCCACGCACTGAATCAAGTGATCAGGGTTATTCTACAATGACTGATCGCATGCAAGGTGATGAAAGTGAATGCGCCACTAGCAAGTTAGTTTTGGTTTTTTATTGTGTGCTTATATTGCTAAATATTAACAAAATAGGATAATGTACCGAAAAAGATGTGTTAGGCTCAGTTTTATTCCTGTTTTTAAGATTATTTTATTGAATTTCATTTTTATAAACACATTTGAATGAATGTCATTTTGTATATCTTTTAATATTTTTCGATTCTTTTTTTTTCAAAACAATCTTGTAATCTCAATTCCTCATTATTTATTTATTTATTTGTTGATAATTTATTTGACGAAATGATGGAGAAAAATAGTGAAGATTTTTAATTTATTTTAGTATTAATATTTCGCAAGAGACCGGAAAAACGATATTAACAACAATGGATACAAATGAAGATGTTTGTTCTATCATTGTGACCACAGAAGCCGATGTACATCAGGCACCGCGAAATTTGCTTATGTCTTCGTAGGAACCGACCTATTTATAAGCCTAGTTTTTATCGTTTCTGTTCAATTGTGGTCTTTAATAGAATTTAACTATTTGCTGTTTTGATAATATGAAATTTAATTCATGGAAAAGAGATTTGAGAAAATTTTTGATTATTTTATTGTTTTCAAAGAACATTATTTATTACTTTCGTGAGAACAAATAATTTTGCCACTGTAGTCTTTAGTTGGCTAAGGTTAATAAAATACTCTTGTAATTTTACAATTTCTTGCTTATAATGGAAACTAATAGCATAAATTTTTATTTTCATATTGATATTAATTTAAATCTGATAAGTAAATAAGGGTGAAAGAAACGTCCTTCCGTGATAAAATTGCTCAACAATGTGATAAACTGCGATTATAGATATATGATATATATTATATATAAAAAGTGCTTAATACAAAAGCTAAATCCTTGTCTTTCCAGTAATTTCGGTAACTTTAATTGGTTACTGAGTAATGATTTCTGTAACTGATGAGCGAAAACGAACTTTTTACTTATAGGTCAGATTAGTTTTTTATTCTTAGATTTGAGAAAAATCTTGTTATTAAGTAATTCGAAATTTCATTTCATATAGGACATGTATTAATTTCATGTAATTTATTCTTTTGCTTTAGCAATGTATAAAAAAAAAGCATTTGTTTACTGCGATATTTTTTTCATGTCCTTTTTTCAATTGAAATCTAGATTTTTATTGAAATCTGGTATTTTTATCAGAAATGTTCTCAAAGAGAAATTTTGCTGTCGTTGATTTCCATTTTTTTAACGGTTTGAAAATGTTGACAGCCTCATAATGTATAATTTTTCGATCAGAATAAGAATTTCTATCGTTTTCTTTCTTGTTCTCCTGTTTGCTTGATCAAAAATTCTTGGTAGCGAAAACATGATTCATCTCATTGTCCTTGAATGTAAATTGCATCAAAAAAACGGAAAATTGATCGGTTCTTTTTTTTAATTTCAACTTCTCTAATCGAAGCGCATAACTGTTTTGTTAATGTTGAACTGTTGTTAATCTTTTCTTCAGTTCATAAATAGAGCTGAGCAAAACAAACAGAAAAAGGACAATGAGAGAAAAGAAAGGATATTTTGATAAAAAAATAGAGAATTTTAAACTATCAATTCTTCCAAATCCTTAAATATTCGCCCAGTTTATAAATAAAATTAGGACGTGGAAATAAGTGTAAAATCCTCTCTTCCTTTTTTTTTTTTTAAATGTGCAATTTCGATAAAAACGTCAGATTTTTAATGGAAAGAAGACGTGTAAATGATATTACAAAAAAAGAAATAAGCCATAAAACTATTATAAATCATTTCTGTACAACTTATAAATCAGATTACTTGTTTACATAATGGATCAGTGCATGAAGTGAGAATGTCTAAAATCAATCTAATCTCGAAGTAGAAAAATAAATCAAGTGAATGAAATTTGATGAATTTAATCAGCAATGAATAGAAGTTAATGGAATTGTGGAAGGAAAAAATAAACAATTGGCTTTCGCATTCAATACAATTTACTTATATATGTACTTTTAATTATATAATTATCATGCATGTGAATAACAAATCCTATTAAAGCTAATATTAATTTAAAATTAGACATTCCCCTTATTTGGTCAGCACGATAGATAAGATGGAATTAAAATTCGATATTATTTGTTCGCCGTAATTAACCTGTTATTTATAATGAACACATTTCTGCTCTTCAAAGATGAAAATCCTTCAGTGATGTGAGTGGGTGTTAACATTGATAAAGAGTGTTGATAATAATAAATAGCATTTAACAATTTTTTCCTGTTATCCAAATAATATTTCTTTCACTTTCAATTCTGTTCTAATTCATAAATTAATGATACAATTTGTTTGTTTCTGTTAATTAAGTTTTCCATAGAAATTTTTCATTATTTGCTCAAAATTTTTAGCTGCTTCTTGCTAAAATTTGTTGCATTTTTTAAATTGATGCAAATTTCGTTTCATATAATTATTCGTTTTTCCCCTTCCTTTTTGAATAAGCACTATTCATTGAAAAGTGTTGATAACAGATTGTTCAAACAAAATTTGTTAGTAATTCGGTTTTCTAATAAAAGAAGACTAAATTTAAATTTCATATTTCATCCTTGCTACTAATAATAATACTTTATGTTTTCTATATCTCTTTATTGTTTTCTTTTCATTTATCTCTAGCAATTCTTTACTCTTTCTTTCAAAAAAAAATGAATTAAAATTAAAGAAAATTGATTATACTTTTTTCGCTAGATTTTACTCCACTTTGTCATTCTCACATTTATTTTTTTTTCTTTTTTTTTTAAGTTATGAAATAATTGATTGTAACTGCTGTTAGTATGAGTTTGAATTTATTTGAAATAAAATTTTCATTATTCATTCAAATCAGTTAAGCTGACATGAAGAGAAAAATGGATATGGTTGACCTGATTCAATAAAATGACAAGCTAAAATTGGTGCAAACGAGGAAGATTAGCACGAAGATGTGAAAAATGTAACAAATCTAAATCTAAATAGGGTCATCAGATTAAACAAATTTCAACATACACTGATCGATACCAATCAAACAGTCTTCTCTACTAACTTGAAAACTATTTTAACGTATTTCAATTTAAAGATTAAAGATTAAAGACTAACGATTTAAAAAAACAAGTAAAAGTACAAATTAATAAACATAAGCATGTAATGATTTGAATTTAAAAATCGAAATTTTTTCCCCAAACATTTTTTAAATTTGCTTTTTTTAGTTTCTAATTTTTGTTTTTTTTTGTCGAGCAATGAAAAAAAGAGAAAAGAAAAAAACCCAGTCTCGTTTGAATTTCTTTTTTTCTCTCTCTCCTTGGAATTTCTCAATTTCTTTTAGCTTTCAACGAAAAGGGCATTGGAAAGGTAAAAGATTAGATGAAGGGAAGAAGAAAAATGTTAATTTTAAATTTTAAATTATTTGCCTCCCACGGAACTCTCAAAGCAAAAAAAATATTGGTTTTGTTACCAAACGGTGTTGAAAGATAAAAAAGGAAAGGACCAATAGTAATCAGTGATAATGGTAATTAAGATAATAATAGTAAAGACAATAATATATAATGGCAATAATAGTAAATGATAATAATGATAAGAATTTGACACACTGAAACTTTTTTTTTCATTTTTTTATTAATAATGAAAAAGTTACAATCAAAAACATTAAAAACAAGAATCTTTTCTGATTTCTTTTTTTTGATTTATTCAAAATATTAAAAATGTTTTTTTAATTCATTTATAACTATATGAGAAACTGCAAAGTAATTTTACATGTATTTTTTTATAACCTTATCATGATTTGTATTTTTAGAAGAAGATAACGCATATATAAATTTCTTTTTTAATTCATTTATAATAACTGTGCGAGAATCTATTGAATTGCTGATGCGGGGCGGGAAGTTATTTCGAAAAGACTGTCATATTGAAAATTCCCTCCATGAAAATAATGAAATGATGTAATAAAATTTTAAATTTAATAAATGCATGATTAAATGAGTATTTGAAATGGGATACATTTACACTAATAATTACTTATTACTATCATTATTGTTTCATAGAGTTGCCGAATTCTATGTTTATAATTTTCAGCATAATAATTTTGTGCTATAAATTAACAGAGCTTGATAACTGCGATTGAATCTAATAGCACTTTACAATTCCATTTTATCAATATTTAAATTTAAATATTATTTGGGGTTAACATTACCAATACAATTAATATTGATTTTTCGATCATCATTGTATGTGAAAATTATTTATTTATTCGTATTTTCGTTGATTTATTAAAATTAATTTTTTTAAATGTTTTTGAGAAGGAAAAGAATGAAAGTGGAAGGAAAATTTTCATGTTTTCAGTGAAATCAAAAAAGATTGTTAATTTGAATAACAGCAAGTTATAATTGATGATGAGATAGAAGGAGGAAAAATGATTGAATGGTACTTTGAATTGATAGTAATCAGTAAAAGAAAGAAATAAACAAAGCTAAGTTAATCAGTTATATGTTCAAAAAAAGAAACACGAAGAACGATAATCACTAATGGCATGCATTTATTTCATAAAATTATACAGTACTAACGAACTAACAACAATTAAAACAGATAACGCAACAAAAAGTGAGAGAAAAAAAAAAGAAAAAAAAAACATCGGATTGGGAGGGGAATAAAAAGTAGTTGAGAGGAAATGAAAGAATTCGATAATAGTCAGTTTTGGTAAATATAATTCTCAAACAACAACTCTTTCTACCATACTGTACCATACTATATCATACCATACCATTTATAACTACTATCACTACTGCTTTGTAGTATGTATTATTATTATTATTTTTTTTTTTGTAATATTGTTAGCATTATCTCAATCATTATTGTTACTACCATCATCATCATCATCGCCATTATGATGATGATAAGCAATGGTAATAATATTCAAATAATATGCAAATTTGGGCTGAAGGATAGCTAGGAGATGTGAAGAGGATGAGCAAACAAGATGATAGCCATTCAGTGGCTCGATTAAAATTATGAAAATCGTACATTGTGCCAAATAAATAAGAGGAATGAGGACATTTTGACAATAGATCAAATTTTTCAGAAATAAATGAAAATCATTCCCGGACGTCCGTTTTTTTTTTTTGTTATTTTTTGCTTTTTCCT